AGCGGTTCAATGCTGTCACAAAATAAACAGGTGGGCTAAGCTCCTTCCGGTCCAAATGCATTAAGCCCTGCACTGACATGCTACTCTGTCTCGAAAAATAAACGATGTTTAAATATGAGCCCACAAAATGGATGCGCATTCCACATTATGGGGCAGGCGCGTGTAACGCCGTCTCATTCCCGATGTTCGCTCAGGGATTTCCTCTCAGTACTAGGCCATGACTGTCGAAAGCCTCGAGTCGTCATCCACGCGCACGACCATGGGCCTTTTATCGAATTGCTTGAGCCACCAGCCACGAACTTAACAACATATTTGAGGCCTGGGTCGGCACAATTTCGAACTCCTCCAATTTCAGTCGGGTTGGCTAAATTATCACCGACACTTCACTGCCGGGCTTCAGATAAAGCATAACACACTATGGCCTAATGGAAGAGGCGTTCGTCGCGCTCACGACCAGACGGTTGACCTTACTGTGATGCTAATCTCTGCAGCTGCCGGGATGTCCAGCTCGGTCGGGCTGGACCCTGCTGGCATCACTGCAACATTGTGCAACGCTGACCGGCGCTGCATCTCAGGGCTTGGAGCTTCATCTGCGTCTCGTGCGTCGACATTAAGGAGGTATACATAGCAATACACCCCATTCGCACATTCTCCAGAGTTCCCATTCATCCCGGAATACGTTCTGACGCAGTGTCACTTCAGGCATATTAATCACACCACGATCGCCAGCACCCGACACACGCGAAGTGATTATTTTGCATCTGGGGATTAAAAATCGAACGCACCACCTATTGAATCGAAACAACCCTCCTTGGGCCTAAGACAGACGCCGTTCACCACGGACTCACACCGTTCATCACAAACTCACATCCTTCCACTACGGACCCACATCTTCCCACCACAACGAAATGTACAGACTGGGGTTTAGAACGGATCATACACACGGCTTTGAGCACACCTCATTCTCTGACCCAAACACGTCCCGGTCCTGCCCACACACCACACGATTGTGGGAAGGAACGGTCACACACGCTCATCTGTCATTGCACACAGGACAGACTGACTCCACGGCATCATAGGTACCCGCAGGCCCACCAACCTCGCCTGCGGCGCTCGGACGTGACGCTTCTCACTCACAGAGCGGCTCAGGGAAACACAGCCGGGCGGAGCGAGGCGAGGCTTAAGAAAACAGTGACAGAAACACAACTCAAGGCGCTTGGGTCCGCTCGCTCACAGAAAGCCAGTGAAAAAATAGAGATCCGAAAAATCTTAACTTTTTTCCTGTCCTTATTTCAAGTAAAAGTACACAACAATTCCGCCACTGAGGACTGTTTCTTGGACCGCTCCGTTGTCCGTTAAGTCTTCTCCTTTGTCATCGCTCGACAGCCAGCCGGTTTTCATTGGTACACGACTAATCATGCATTCTAAGACTACCAGGAACTGATAAAAGGAATGGTAGCGTGCCGTAGTGTGTCGGTAAGAAAGGGGCAAAATGCAGATCTCACACACACTCAAGAATAAAACGAACGCATAAACAGCGACACTCACACAGGGAAAACGACAGTCACCAACTGTTCTTCCCCAATCACAGTTCAACCCGACTTGTCCGGGACAAAATGCATGAGTCCTTACATGATTAAAAAGCTCGGCTGTCTCCCAGCAGCACGATCGCGTACTCGCCACTCCCGGCGAAAGATGGCGAACCCCTAAGAACCAAGCCTATTATACCGTCGGAAAAGTGGTCAGAAGAGGTTGAGCAAGGTAAGCTGGCCTTGCGACGAAGCGTTAGGCCCCTGTCCTTTCCGCGATGTCGGCATGGAGCGGGTAATCGCCTCGACATGTGTGCCGTGACGCGGTGGCCGCGCCGAATTGCAAGTTGCGCTGTGACGCACGGCTTCTGCACCCACGCCTCGTGACATCGGATTCTGTCCCGTCCCCACAGGATGCCAGTTGTTGACATTAAGCGTCGGCCCCCCGTGACAGGTCGGTCTGACGGCTATTCAGCTGGGTGGAGCGACTGGTCCGGCCCTGGCGAATGGTGTGTCAGTCCGCTGAGCCGGGCCCCAGATGGAGAAACTGCCGTCCTACGTCGGCTGGGCTTCCCACGAAGCTTTGAAGCTTTGAGTTTCCACATCGGAAAAAAATTAGGCTCAAATGACGGGAACTTTATGTCACCTATAAAGGTTCATATCAGTCAACACCTGTTTTCAAGGTAAAAATCACACTCACAAAGCGGAAAACTGCGTATCACTAAAAGATTGCTGGCCAATTTCGGATTTAAAGCATCGGAAACATCGCTTGCAAAAAAACTTCCGTCCGTCGGAGAATTTCGATCTTTCAAGATCACCTTTCAAAGACATGTTCTGGCTTAAAGGCCGGGGAATTCCACATCACTAGGAGAGACTAGCCAATTTTAACTTTTCAAGGATCAGAATAGTACCAAGTGCAAGACCCAGCGTCGTTAAAAATTCTTAAAACTCAGGGTCATCTTTCAAGCTCAAATTTATGCTCAAACGGCAGGGCACTTTAAATCATTAAAAACTTACCCGCTGATTTCATCTTTAAAAACATCAGAATATTCCCAAGCGCAAGCACTAGGCATCGCCAAAGTGCTGAAAACTCAATGTCACTGTTCAAGGTCAAATTTAGGCCCGAAGGACGGGGAAATCTATGTCACGAAGAGTCTGATTCAGCCGGTTATTCTTGATGCCAAAAATGACGCCTTCTTACCGATATCGATGATGGAAATTGAAGCCATTTTCAATATTCTCTTGACCGTTTATGCTTCCGTGACTTGACCATTCAATATGTTTTCAGAGAAATCGAAATGGCGAATGCGCGGCCAATAGGTGCGACAAAGAAACCTAATAATTTTCCTCAACGTTGAGCTCTTGCGGTCATAAATCAGAACAACCAACTCGGTGATCAGTCGTGCCACTAGCTAAGACTTCTTTCTTCGCAGCTATTGCTCCGCCTACTCACGTTAATTGCAGACATGTATTGGCTGTGCTCACATCTATGCAATCCAATGTTAAATCGAGAGCACTGCTTCGCGGGGAGAAAAATCTGATTGAACAAGGACAAGCAGCACTGAGATCACATACAGATATATACGCATCACCACCCACCTCGTAAAGGTCATCTCCCTCTTTTGGCCTACCCAGGGAAGACCACGGCGCTGGGTGCCCCGATTCATGGACAAACACGCATCGCATCGGCCTACGCATGAGCAGAACCACCAGCTCTCCAAATGTAGGTTCCGCTGTTCCGATATTTAGCCTCCAGCTCACTGGTACACACGGTGCGACGTAGTCACTTCTGCACTTGGCACTCGTCACAGGCACTGCTCACAGTCCGTTCTCACGCCGGCGGCTCTCAGGATCTTCTCTTTGTTACCACCTATTCTCCCGGGCCCCGCGTCCGCGTCCCTCGCAAGGGGCACCTTTGGCAGGAGAGGAACGCGAGCGTCTCTAAACAGCGCTCACCAAACTACACAAACATTCACTGTGTAGCGAAGAGGTGCTCTCTGACACCTCACACAAACACCTTTTACTGGCAGTCTCGGCCGGAACCGATATACTGTTCCGCACCGTTGTAGACCAATATTCCACAGAAAAATAGTTCATGACCCTCACCCTTGACTTCTTATATCACTACCGCCTGGAAAAGCGGTGGCGGCGCGTCCTTGATATGTGGCTGATTCGCGTCAGATAGTTACATTTCGGGAGCGCCTGCTCTCGCGGCAAGGTGAAACTGGGGGAGTCAGATGGGCTGATGGCAATATATGCGCTGTCTCCTCAGTATTCTGAGTGGTAGTGCCGATCTGCCGTTTGCGCGGCGGTGTCCGGCGCCCGTGCCCACGGTCGCGTGGCCACGATGTTGCTCGATCCCCACGGGCGATGGCCGTTCACCCGATCGTCGGTCCGCGGACCGGGCCGGTCTGGCGCCTTGTTCGATGTCTGCTGGCGCCCGGACGGAGCGGTTGGTCCGCCAGCTTGACAGGAGGTGTGTCGGTTCGCGGAACCGGGACGGAGGTCGAAGACTACCGTGCTACTTCGGCTGGGCTTCCCACGAAGCCCTAATTTTCTACATCATCCTGTCACCCACGGGCGGCCGGCTGTTCACCCGGCTGTTCACCCGGACAGGCCGCGGGCCGGGCCTGTCCGGCGGCTCGTCGAACGTGGGTCGGCCTGCGTCGGGGCGGGGCGGCTAGTCCGGCGACTTGGCGAATGTGTGTCTGTTCTATCGAGACGCGGGTCGAAAGCTGCCGAGCTGCGTCGGTCGGACTTCCCACGAGCCACGAACTTCTTATTTTCCGAAAACCGCAATTTTGTGCATTCTTTCTTGACAAGCCAAAGGCATTAGTTTCAACTTCTGAGATGTCGAGGATGAAAAAATTGACAGTATCATTGCACCTATATGTGGTGCCAGTTAGTGATGAGTTGACTGTTAATGACCCATGGGTCACTGACTGGGTCATAACCTCACACAAACTGCCTTTGCCTTGGCCGTGGAGGTTCCCGCCAGTCAGGATGCTGAAAGAGATGACGATTTCTGCAATGACCATGACTTTCTTCCTGCTAACTGAAGAGGCATCTACACCCTCGCTTCGTAATAAGTGATAATAGTGCAGCGTGAGCACAAAATAATGCAGGAAAATGCACTATTAGCGTTCTTCCAGATCTGGCACCAATCCTGCAAAGCAAAATAGTACAAACTGTGCGAAAAAACCTTGAAAGTGGCGCAAAACTGTACTAAGCCTTGAATAGTATAAAGACGGTGATTTTGTTACAAGTTTTCTCAGAAATGTGCAAGAAATACCCCTTTTTCGCATAAATATATTTTTATGTGGTACCAAGTAATACATGGCCATGGACATTTTATCATACAATTACTGCATTTGGTTATACTCTTGAGGTTACACTTCTCCCTACGCATCTGTGACGACATTTGGCGCTTGCCGAGATGCGTCACAAAAGATTGTTGCAGTTAGTGGAATATTAGGTGAGGGTGGTGAGGTGGGTACGGGCTTATATGGAATGAGCGAGAAAAGACATAGTTAGAACTACTTGAAAGAGTGGCTGTTTGAGGGTTTTATTTCCTTCGGCCGACGGAGCTGAAGTAGGGTGTCAGATTTCAAGACGGAGGCAGCGGCCTTTTTGTGCTAGCAAACGGCTCAGTGTTGGTCGCATTAACAGGTACTTTGGGAACGGAGCTGCTTTGTAGATGAGTTTCATGCTTAGTAGGCGAAATATTGTACTACCTATGTGATGCATCATGCATGATCATCAGTGGGTTTTGTGGTAGCATCTTGTGCTCTTGAAGTGCAGATAAATGCATTCTTGTGTGATATTAAGGGCTGAGAAAGTCAAAAGAACATGTGCATGCTTTGACTGTGGTAGGTTTATGAACACAATCAGCAATCAGGAATTTAAATTTACTTCAGCAACACAGGATAATGTGCTTCAAAATCTACCATGGGTGGAAGAACACTTTTTATAGTGGTGTACCAAAACCTTTTTGACAGCCATGCTTCCCATGTGTTGTGGTTGGTTGAAAGTGCAATAGTCAAAGAGATGGGGGAGGAGAGAGTATGGCACCCATTGGCCTCATGTTTGTATGCCTTTGGTACCCAGCCAAGTGTGTGGCTTGTCACAGGCACATTAGGATAATCAGGGGAGACAGTGGAAATAATAAAAGAATACCTAAAACATCTGAAATTTGAATTCTGCATTTATTGGATCAGACCTCATGCTAAGCAATGCATGTGGTGTAAGCTCCCATCACTAATATCTAGTCATGTAATTTTGATTCAACAGAAGAGTTTGGTGGCAAAAGTTTGATATGTTCCAATGGTCAGCACAGTTGGTTCTAGCCTCTGACATAAACTGACCTTAATGGTGGCTGCTGCCATGGCAGCAAGCCATACCTACCAGTAAAAAACAGTGGGGTCTAAAGCAACTAAAGTTGCTACCAAAGCAGCTGGAAAGACTTCCAAAGATCACCTGCAAAAGCATCACATAACCTATTGCACATCTCAGTTGTTTGCCTGTCCTGTCTAGGGACTGTGATCATGTAACACATATAACATATGCATATTTGGTCATATGATGTATGCATCTTCCTAAAAGTTATCCTAGTTTTTTTATTTTCCTAGATGTGTCTAAAACCTTTTGATGGTTTCTAGGATTAGAGCCCATGCTAAACAACATCTTGTGTGAGCCCTGACCATTTGATCATTTGATTCTAGGTCAACAGCAGAGCTCTGCAGTGAAATTTTAACATGCTCTTATACTTGGCATGGTTTATCCTATTCCCTGACCTCAGCTGACCTTAAATAAGGCTGCATCCACCTGTTACATCCCATCCTAGTTTGGGCCAAATGCCAGCTCTTAAGTGATTCAGATATAACCCACTTGAGGTGGTTGAATCCAAAGCAGACACTCTAAGTGAGCTCGGAGCGCTTAAAGCATATATCATGTTGAACATGTCTAGCACATCAACATCACAGCAGCTGCTTGAGAGCATGCAGACTGTAAATCCAGGTGTGCTGAGTTTGGCACATGGTTGCCACTAATTTCTGATATAGAGAACCAATTTTTGAAGGATTTGTGATGCTTCACAGGTATTTAAACCAAAAGTAATCCCAACTCATCTCTTTGAAGGATACTTGAAAAATAAAGAGGCCTGGGGCCTGACAGGAGTTTTGCACATACGTGATACAGGTTCAGCACACCGATGTTGGTCACAAATCTGGTGCCTGGCGAAGTTTTCACAGACTGGAATTGAGCTGCTGGAATGAGATCAACTGCTAACTGTGTATTTCTGCATTACAATGAAGTGTTATGCTGGTTTCTGCATATTTTCAATACCTTTAAGTGAACACATATCTGGGTGGCACATCAGATTTGCCTGGTGCTGTGTGACAATTCCCCTTATTCTTACTGGGAGCATGATTGTAATGATACTAATATTTGGTTATATTAAGCCAAGAAGCACATGATAGCTCAGGATTGGTAGTGTGTAACACAGTGATGACCATTTGTGTTGTGATGTTTGTATTCTTTAGTCTGCTTATGCCAGTCTGGTCAACTAATGCATATGCCATCAACATAATTGGTATGCTATGACAGCATGTGTATGCTTACCTCCACCTGTGAATACACACATTGCCTTTATAAAGGCAAAGTGCCATTACCCTTTCTGAAATGTCTTAAGACTTTTGGAAAATGGTGCTTGTTAATGCAATTCAAGATGTCTGGTAATGTACACTCACTACACATAGGCATATCATTGAGGTCCATTTACCAAATTACAAGTTAACAAGCAATTCCTATATATGCAGAGAGCCTATGATGAGATTAGGGGTGTTTTTCATCACAGGGTATTGCAATTCATTGTCCTCAGCATGGTGCTCTACAAGACAGATATTAGGGTCTCACATCAATTTTGCCAACAACCAATAGCACTGAAGTACCTTTTTGAAATGCATCTGAAGGTATTAGGTGGCATGGTGGTTTGTTTTGCCTCCAAATGTCATTCAGGGTGTGATGATTTATGACTGTGACGTATGACTTATGACACCATCCACGATTGATGATAAATTTCGAGATGCACATGAGAGGTAGGCGACACCACAGGACCTCAGTGGCCGAGTACGTCGTAGATTCGCAATGACGCAGATCAGATGACAACATCTCCTTGGGCTTATCATCACCTTCGGTGCTACATCTCCTTTCCTTCTGTGCTCTGTGATGCAATGTTCCTCATACCTGTTCCACGTAGTGTGTGTGTAGCTGTGTGCCCGGTGTGTGGGCAGGTTGTCCCAGTCGGCGATGAGCTAGGGGGCCGGCGGCCATGTCCGGTCAGGGAGCGGGCCGCGGTTCGCTTGAGTCTCAGGACAGCTCGGCCAGCCGCTCGTCCGACGAGCCGGCCGACGACACGCTGGCGCGCGCCCTGGCGGCCGGCACCGCCGCCCAGCTGCTGGACGACGCCGACCTGCCCACCTCCATCCACGTGTGCAACCTGCCGCTCGACGCGTTCGAGGACGAGGCGATTAAGGTGGGCACCTGTTGCAGGACTGGCTCGCGCGGCGTGTGCTTGCACCCCGCGCGTGGGGTGTGCTTCACTTAAAACGGTGGGGGCTGCGTTTTTCTCGAAAACTGCAGTCATGTGACACATTAGACAAGGACATACGGAGTTGAATCCTGATATTGTTTTCAAACGCTTTGTAAATACGTGCGTAAGGTTTCTTATGGCTGGCAGTTACACGGCGTGACCAGTGTCACTTGACATTCCCCGTCGCGGTTCCTGGATAAAAAGGTCACTGGTGTTCATCTTCTGCCAGCCATGTTCGCCACGAAACTGAGGACGGGGATGGTTTTGGCAGGCCAGTTTCGAAGACACATTCATGGCCTTCGACGACGAGGCGTGGTTCCAGTACTTCCCCAGCTTTCGTCGGGCGCGAGTCAACTATAGCACCCCGAAGGCAGCAGCCAGCGCGCGTATCCACCTGCACGAGACAAGCATCTGCGGCGCCACGATCAAGTGCTACTTCATCCAGGTGAGGGCGCCACTCTCTCCTCGCCTTGACCCGCAGCCATTTCGGAAAACAAGTGGGGGCTGCTCTCACGTGTGCATGCTGGGCGTAACGTGCCCTCGACCGCCGGTGCCCCCGTCGGTCCCAATCATCATCACTTGTGCATAGCAGCGGTGATTAGGAATACTTCAAAAAAAGTGGTCACCAAATACTCGTCGTAGTCACCATTCGACGGAGACCAGCGACGTCCGAGAACAAGAGGTCGGCAAAAGGGTGAAGTGATAAGGTGGTTATGTAACTACGTCGTCGTGCAGAGACCACGAAAGACTATAAACTGACACGTCCTGAGGTTTTCCTGCCACGGCTCTATTCCATGTTCACGATTTCGTGCTAGTTTCGCCGCCGGAGCGGGCTGGGCGTGTTTGTTGGCTCCGGAGCGGGCTGGACGTGTTTGTTGGCTCCGGCCGCCGCTCGAGCGTGGACCGAAGCTCGACCGGAGTGGTGGGCGCCCGAGCGAGGCTTGCAACGGAGAAGCGACGCCGCAGCGTGGTCCGGAGGGAGACGCCGAGGGCCAGACGCTCCGCTCCTCCAATCATTCCGCGACGATCTGCCGCAGGGCAGGCACCGTTCACTTGAAATGCATAAAATGGCGAAGTCCTCTTTATTTAGTTTCTGTGTCGGTGTGTTCATATGCTGCGTGGCTGGCGCAGTTACAGAAATGTTGCCGCGTCACCGGCTGCAACGCTGCGTTTTTCGCTGCCGCCACATGCGCCTTAGCGGGAGCCTGGTGTTCTCCGTACGGCTTGGCCTCAAGTGACCATACGACGCCAGCTGGCTGTGTGACACGACCGGTAGACAGCACATCTGGCTCGCACCACGTGCATGTTATGTATCGGACTTCACTCAGCATGGTACCGTACAGCTGTGTCTGTTGGAGCCCTCGGCCACAACTAGTGAACGCATGCGCTGCCAAATGTCCGATGAGGGATTATAATCAAGTGTAAGAAGGCCCGGGAAAACGCGTCGTTCCAGTCGAAAACCTGATCGGTACGGACTGAAGAAGAGAGTTCAGCTGGGTAACGCGTCTTACAGTTATCACCTAACATACGTGCGGCATAGTGTACTACTTGCCGCTCAGTACGCGTTGAAAGGGAATTTCGACTGATGTCCGAGTGCTACGCCTTCCCTGATGTTCGGCTAGTAACTTTCGATTCATTGGACGTTGACGTTTTCGTACCCGAGTAACCGTAAGAACTGTGCTGCGGTCGGTCAGACAGCGGCTGTCGCACGTGGGACCGCCGTGTGACCCGGCCGGCCGTGTCCTGGACGCAGCGTGATAACGGCACCACGACACCGGCGATCCCATGTTGGTCTGACCATCGCCGACGGCTGCGTCCCGGCCCCAGCCCGGCGGACAATTCAGAGTTGTTGGGTATTCAAACATCCTGAATGGCTCTGTGGCCGCTGTTACAGCGTCACTTCCTTCAAACACACCGTAGTATGATGCTCCGCTTCCATGCCAGCCCGAATATCCCCGGCAGTCGGGGTCCAGCCGCGGTTCTCACGGCAACACAGTGTCGATAGGGCTCCCGAGAAACTCCACCGTCCCCGTTACCGCCGTAGCACGATATGATGACGCCCGGTGCGGGCTTTCCGCGCTGACCCGACCGACGCCGGGGTCTGCTCCAGCCTCAGTCGTCGCGCGACGAGCTGGATGACGGCACGCTGCACCCGCCCATGCCGGACAAGCAGTTCCTGATTTCGCCGCCCGCCTCGCCGCCGGTCGGCTGGGAGCCGGTGCGCGAGGCCGAGCCCACCGTCAACTTCGACCTGCTGCGAGCCGTCACCGAGATGGCGCCCGGTGAGGGGACGCCGGTCCGCCGTCGGCCCGGGCAAACGGGCACACATGCTGATTACCATTCCTCAGAACGTGGAGGCACTGTCAGAACGGAAACGAGTCGCTACATGCTTGGAGGCGTTCAGTCGCGTGTTTCATCCCGCCGTTTGATAGGCGTCCGGTGTAAAGCCGCTGTCCTGATGACCCCGAGTGATGCCTGCAGCGGCCGCTCGCCCCGGCGCAGTGCGCGGGGTTCGGCCCGGCGGCGTGACGGCGCGCCCCTGCCGGCAGGCGAGAGCCACGAGCTACATGACGGGCGCGACCAGCAGCCGAGCATCGTGGTGCACGTGGCCGAGGAGAGCGAGACGGACCGCGACGCGGGACAGCCGCGCATGCGCATCACCCAGACCCGCTGCCCGTCGCGGTAGACTGCGCCGCCGGCCGCCGCCGCCGCGGAGGTCACGGCCGGGGCGCCCAGAGCGGCGCGGGCCCGAGCCGGCTGGTCGCGCCGACTCGGGACACGAAGCTTATCACTGGACCCCCGCCTGTAACTTTGTTGATGTGTTCGAGCGTTGAGGTTTCGTTTGTTGTGGATAGGACTGTGTCGGATGGCTAATCGCCGCGTGATCAAAACCAAATGGCGCGTGACTACTAGCATTGGAGAAGCCGCATGGTGCTGCCCGCTTCGCCGAGAGATGGCGCGGCATTGTATTGTTTCGGCGCTCGTTGTTGCTCGCTGTGCATGTAACTGGGCCTGTGATTTTAGTTGCAGTAGAGCTTATGTTGTCGGTGGAATAGTTCAAGAAGCAGATCACGCTGACGGTAATGCTGCATAGACGTCCGAGGTCTCCACTTCCAGATGTATCGCGTCTTCAACACGGCTTGCAAGTTATCCTATGTCTGTTGTAAGCGACGGGCCGGTGTCGGAGCAGTTTATGCATCCTGTCCTCCCTATGCTGTCACGCATTATCATCTGTCGAAACACGTGGTTCTTACGATTAAAGGTGTTCTCATGGTGATGTCATGGCGTTTGGCAACGATGAGACGCGCAGGTCATCAGGCAACAAACAGGCTTCACTACGTGGTCCTTACAGTGCGGACTAGATGCGTGCACAGGCCCGCCAAAGGTTTGCCTAGCTACGGATGGCTTACATCTGGCACGTTTTCAGCGTGTGAACGGAATTCGCAGGCATGAGGACAACGCAACAACGCAGAGGTCTAATGCCTGAGATCCATCCCCGAACCAGTAGAACTTGGCGTCTAAAAACGCTAAATTACGCTCGGCACCGCGATATGACTGCGATCCCACCCTACCTGATGCAACAGTTAGGACCCCGGGCTTTCTGGTTTAACGACTACGATCCCGGACTATCTTATGCAACGACTTAACGAGCCTACTACGGTACCGGACTATCTCATGCAACTACGGTACCAGACCATCTGTTGCAACGCCTACGGCACCCGCGCTATCTGATGCAACGACTACGATCCCGGAGTATCTTATGCAATGACTTAACGAGCTACTACGGCACCGGGCTTTCATGCAACTACGATACCAGACCATCTGTTGCAACGCCTACGACATCGCGCTATCTGATGCAACGACCACAATCCCGGAGTATCTAATAAGCCAATTGATGGATTCTGATGCACTCCCGCTGGCTATGCCAGAAAAAAAAACAGTGGAGAAGCCGCTTTGACTTGCATGAAAAAGTCGCATTGGCTTCTCGAGTTCACAGCAGACTACAGCTAAACCCTGAAACTGACCACTCACCGTTGTGCGAACACGTGATATTTTTCACATGTTTCGCACGTCCAGCCATGTGATATTGTTCGCATTTTCACAAACGTCCAGTCATGTGATCTTGTTCACCGTTCGCACACCCAACCATGGGTGATATCATTCACATGTCTTTGCAACGTCCAGCTACGTGATATTGTTCGCATGGGCTCGCACGTCCAGGCCATATTATATTGTTTACACACGTGCCACACGTCCAACCATGTGATATTGCCGCCATCCTATCCATAAGGCACGAACCTGAAAGGCCGCCTTCCAACAGAAGGTCACGTATCGCACGACCACACCGCGACAGTGCTAAAAAGCGGTCGCTTGCGCGGAGACTGCTGCGAAGGCAATGTCCTACGGTGACCTGTAGTCTCCACACCATGCATCAATATTCCCCTCATGCCGAAACATGTGTTAACCTTCGATGTTATGTTCGTTTGTACAGTTGCGTTCAAAACCCAACAGTTCAGCTTAAAAAATACTTAAATAATCAAACACTACATTGCAGTATAGCATCGCTATACTTTGTTCGTCCCAGCTGTTTTTCAATCACAATTGTACAATTGCATCACATTTCACCATTTGTAGCAAGAAGAACATCACCACTGTGCCAGTGAGCACTGCCCGTCCAGCGCAGTCCACAACCTGTAGTATCCACGGCATGCAAAAACCCCAGCTGCCTACCTGATCTCACAAATGCCCTCCATCCAGTCCGGTGTCACATCTTGCGGGCCCATGCGGACATCCGCACCGGCAGACCCGGTCCCCACAGGCCCGACACCGACTCGTCCGGTGCTGATGGCGCCGCTGCGTCCCCTGGTTTGAAGCACTCGCCGCCGGACGGCGTAAGACAGGAGTCGCCACGCTGATTTGCGCGGAATGGAATAACGTCACCGCCGCATACCAGACCGGTGCGATGGCACAACTGTCCCGCTCGGCGTCAGCTGACAACCGTCTCCTCAGGGTTCGTCCCATCACTGCTCGTCCATCGCGCCTGCTGACGGCCTCAGCCGCGCGGCGGCCGCTCAGAATACAGTCGTTGACGCTGACCGGCCGTCGAACGCGGCGGCCCGGCCAGCAGCAGCGGGCCAGCCGAGGCGGGCCGACAGCTGCGCGCACCTCCTGCAACCAGGGCGCGGTGTCCGACGCGGTACTGCGGGATGCAGCGCTCCTGCAGCTGCACGCAGAGCCGGCTGGGCCGGGCCGTGACGCCGAGCGAGCGTCGCACCTCGTGTAGCGCGGCGTCCAGCAGCCGCTGCCGGCTCGGCCGGACGCCGTAGTACCCGCTCCATCTCGGCTCCGCCCGACATAACCGTCAGCAACGGTCTTGTCGCCCTGCGGGAAGCTGCACGTGTCGAAAATGACGCCCAGCACGCGAACCGTCGGCCGGCTCGCACGACGGGATCAGGTAAGCCAAAGCCGGGCTTCGCCGCAGCAGCTGGCCCTCGTACTCGAGCGTGATCACGGCCACCGTCACTGACTCGATCTGCGCCAGCAGCGCCGCCAGCGACCGTCCGGCACGAGCGGTGCCAGCGCGTGCGCCGGCAGCGCCGAGATGACCTGGGCGGCGTGGTGGCTGCCGGCCGGCGAGTGGACCGTGGCGCCGTCCGGTGACAGCTCCAGCCGCGTGGGCCGGGCGCATCCGGCAGCACGGCGACGCCATCGGCGGCCAGCCGCGCCGCCATGGCCTCCGGCAGCGTCTGCAGACCACCCTCCAGGCTCCAGACGCTCCAGCGCTCGGCTTGCGCGCGGCGCGCCAGCTCGCTGCCGCCGGGGTCGGGCGCGGCGGCACGGCCGCGCTCCTTCCACATGCCCCAGAGCACGCTGCCGTAGCGCTGCTCGTGTTCGAACAGCGTGTCCATCAGGAAACGCACGCTGATTTGGCGTGCGTCGCCGGCGCAAACGCCGCGCACCAGCGGGTCAACGGCGAACTGCGCCACGTCGCTGCCGAACCGGCGCGCCACGAACGCGTACAGGCTGTCGTCGGCCAGGCCGCGACGTGCTGGCGCTGCCAAGTCGCGCAACGCCGCTAGCGCCAGCGGCCGCCGGAACGGCTTCAGCCAGCGCAGCGTGCTCCACAGGCTGGTCGGCAGTTTGTGCAGCTCGCCGTCGGTCATGATCATCCGGTTAAGGGTCGCTGGGTGTCCTTGAGGGATTATCTTCAGCCTGGGGAGGGGCTGGGCATTATTTTTGGGGTTTACAAATTTACTCTTATTTGGTCTTCTCGATACACATGTGCTTAAATTCAATAGACACACAATGCTGGAAGTATTTGTGTGATAATATGTTGCTCGCTTATACTGGATGCAGTTATTTCTACCACATTGCAGGAAGCAAAAAGCTGTGAGCCAATAGTTATCTGTTGTCCGCTAAAATCGGTGATTTATCCATGTTTACGAGTTATTTTGTGTCTGGTAGCACTTGTAAGCCATCAACGGCCTGGTATTGACCTGTGACCTATCACCCAGTCACAGTGGACCAGTACCTCTCAGTCAGCTGCAGCTGCTCCACCAGCTGCAGGGTGTTGACGCCCTGCTGGCCAGCCGGCCGCACCGTGCGCCGGCCCGTGCTCCCAGAGACCGCCGTCCTTGTGGCGCGTGGTGCGGACCCAGCCGCCGACGGCCGGCGACCGCCTCCAGCACGGTGATGGGCAGTGTGGGCCGCAGCTGGCGCAGGTAGTGGGCGGCTGCCAGACGGTCACGCCGCCGCCCAGCACCAGCACAGCCATGCTCGGACTGCTTGCGCCTCACTCCGCCTCAACAGTTCATCTGACCACCCCCACCAGATTGTTGGCTGGGTGCCAACTCCCTTGTGAGAAAGCAGAACAGTGCCAGCCATGGGCAGAAGAGATACTGTGCATAAACCTGCATACCAGTACATTACATGGAAAAGAAACACTGAGCAATAACCATCTTGCAAAAATGTGATAGCATGAACATGGAGAAAACAAATTATGGAGAACAGCTGCTCACACTACAAATGTGGCTACCCATGACATGAAATGTGAAGGGGCATTTATACAGTTATAAGAACTCACATACTCACCTTTAGCATTAAGTGTCAGCATGCAAGAAACTGAATAATTGTAAAGGTTACAATTGTTGTGTGGAAAGTACCAATAGTGATAATTGTTGGGGTCATTTCAAGCAAACAGTGAGGTAAAAATAAACAAATGCAATGTAGGCAAGCCATTTGTTAATAAAGGCATTCATACTTTAGTAACCAGCTCATAAAGATCCTACATTACTTGCCCACTGTGCAGCATGCAACATGCTATTATCCTAGCTTGTGCTATTTTAAATGAAATTCCCATCATGCTCAATGTGTTTTTGCACTTACTAGATTCAAACAATGCAAATCAATGTTGTTTTTTTTTAGTAAAGCCAGCCATGGAAACATACTTCACCACAGAGAAGCCCATTATATAACTTATGATAGCTGCAATTTTTTCTACAGCATGGCACACACTGACAGGTGCTGTGCCAGCAGGGGCACAGGATGATGTGCCTCCCATGACCTTGATTTTGACATTATACAGCTGAAACTCCATGGGAAGAGCAAACCTAACACAACACCTGCCAACCCAATCTCCCAATGGCATGAGCTATGTTACACTTGCAGACCCTTGCCCTTTCAGCAAAATGCAGAATGAGACAAGATTAGGGTGTATGGGTGCAAGCAAGTGTACAAAAAAAACTAGCTATATAAGCATCCACCCTTTAGAAGGCCATGACATGCCCAGGGGGTGCACATTAGATTAGTCTAAAAACCACAATTCCACTTTCTGCACTTTGTTATTCTTGATGGTGTCACATTTTTGTAAGCTGGGAATTTTATACTGTTGGGACTTGAAAGGTAGGTTTATTATAATATTGGTAATGCCAACCTCAACCTACATACCCTGTACATGGTGCACCTAAGGTCATCAAGTACGCTGTTGATAGATACAGAGCTGAGGCACAGATTACACACTGTGAGGTGGATACCTCGCACATTCCCAAAGTTCAGTAAAAACAGTTCAACAGGAGAGTGGAAAGTACTCTCCACAGCTCGCAGAAGTGACATCTGCAATGCCACCCACCCACGCTTTCACAGTTACAAGCCAAGTACATTCATCGGCTCACCGCATCAGCTGTCGCCGCACTCCGTTTGTGGCAAGCAATCAATCGCACACGTAATCATGTGTTGCGGCGGCATTACGTAATGACAACCAAGAACATGCACAGTTTTAAAACACCTCAAATTACCCACGACTTGAAACGCGTGCCCGCCTAGCGCGTACCACACATGAACCACAAACGTACTATAAGCGTCATTTAACATTAGAATAATCAGTAATGTTCCACGTAGCAATGTGAGCAGGATGCGCGTTTTTTTAACGAATCAGTAGCCAAATAATCTGCGCCTGCGATACTTTCTTAGTTTGTATTGGTTTGGGGTGCAAAGCAACAGTGTGCGACCAGAATCTTGAACAGGCTAATGGTTGATTTTGTTTGACTTTTCCAGACAACACGTATCTTCCTCCTTGCATTCAGCAATGTCCGTTTGTGGAGCCGCTTGTGTTGTTTTCGCGATACCTGACCGGAATAGGCTCTCGAACTAGCACAAAAGAATTCAGAGGCTATCTGGCATTTAAAACACAAAAGATTACTAATGTCGCATGTGTTACCAGGGCAAATACTACGGTTGCCAATATTGGCAAGATACGCGAGGGAGACCTATTCCAGAATGGTCGGAGACCTCCGCCATATCAGATGCCTTATGCATTTGCCCAGTACTCCATTGATGTGCACATATTCAGTGTCAAGTGAGAGCTCAAGGCATACAGAAATATTCCCATGCCAGAGCCTGTATGTGCAACGTCGGTTCAAATCAAAGAGGTCCCGCAGGGCAGTGTAAGTGTACGTACCTTTGCAGATTTCCATGGATTACCATGGAATTTTAACCATTTAGGATGACAGCCATGCATGGAGCCACATTCACCAAGATGTGATGCATTATTTTGTTTGTAGATATGGGTAGGGATACTTTGTACTTTTAATATACTGTACTTTGAACAGTTGTTTCTCAGATATTAAACAGGAAACAGTTGGGTGGATCTTGCCCATGCCATGTCTGATACAATGGTCCTTGGTAATGGTTCCAAAGTGTAAGTTACCATGCTTGGGAGTTATTACTATTGGCTATCACATGGATGGCTATCTAGTTGACTTATTGGGTTTCTCTTCAGGCTGGTAGTGAGTCTGAAGAATCTGATGATGAGGAAGAGGAAAAATCCAAGGACTTCCAGGTCTTAAAAGGCCATGCCAACTCTACCAGAATAGATGCTGTGCTTAAATTTGGTCTGGGAATGTCTAGAAAGTAGGGTGCAACTTAAATGTTCTGTCAAATTGCAATGTTGGAGACATTTGCACTGTTACATGTTAACTTGAGTGATATGCATGTGTATGTATATATCCAGCATATGACAATTACTATCTGTCATTCTTAATTACCAATAGCTCAGCTCATTCTGTTTATGCACATATGCTTGAGTCAGTTTTAACTGTACATGTTGATTTCTTTCAGCAAAGTGGACAATGCATTTTATAGCAGCAGCATCTACCTCAATGGAGAGAAGCTGATCAAGAAGAGCCATCCTGTAAGCACTTGGGCCAGACCTAATTTGCAGGGCTGTAATTTGGTATTCAGGAGGCCTTCAGCCTCCCCCCCCCCCCCCCCCCAATTTGGGATTTGGTTCCCCTTCCAACTTAGTGAAGACTGTGAACAAATCTGGTGGATACCTGTTTGTTGGCATATTTTGGGGCAGGTTGGGTAATTTTTCACCATTCAGCCCTGCCCCTTCCCTAAATCATTTTGTGAAACTATGCCTCTGACAGCAGGATATGCCTTTCCTATTCACAAGCTGAGATGAGCTTATGAAATTATATTGCTGAAAAAATGCCAGTTAAATGTTACATAGTAAGTGGGGGCAGTCCTATTATGGACATGATGATATTTGTTTCATGAGATTTGTTTTCACCAACCTTTCAAGTGTTCAATTATGCACTGGCTGTGTGTACTGGCAGACTGAAACAGTCATTTGGACAGGATGTTGTGAATGAACAACCAAGTTGTGTTAAAGTGTTTAACTATATCCAACATGTTTTTGTCAAAAATGCCCATCCATGATTGTGTGTGTGGTTCAGTCATGTGATTTTGTTGGCCTACATCATGGGGATGACAACTGTTCGGCAGCTGACGGTGGATGACGAAGTGGACGTGGTGCGCGGCGAGAACGCGCTGAACACGTCGTTCCTGGACGTCTCGCGGGTGCAGGTCCTCGACATCCACCGTTCGCGGTCCGACCCGGACAAGCTGACTCTGAAGGTGCGGCGCTTTAAACAGCTCACCGTCGAAAACTACTCGTCGCCGTGGAAACCAATTGCGTCGGAGTAAATGATCTGCACGTGCGCTGTAGTCGAATGATCATTGTCCAATGGTGATACAGAGCTTGACGTGGCGACCGCGTATGACACATGCGCGTCCATGATAGCCCATTTACCTCTGCTGATTGAGTACGGCAAGGCGGCGGCCCTGCTGTACTCCATCAGCAGAGATGGTATGCACGCTCTGTTTTGTCATCACTTTCAGCCTGCGCTGTAGTCTGGGTAACAATGTATATAATACACCGGTGTACATGATTTCTGAAAGCGACTGTGATCTCTCAGCGCACCTGGCCGAAAGACCATTGTCCAATGCTTCAGTATTTCCCACTTGACTTTGTCATCCATTTAAGAGCAACTCGCATTCTAAGTACACAGCTGTCTAATGTTACATTAGCACACGTAAGTAATGTCAATGGCTGTTTCCACACGTTAGAGGCTACAAGTGAACTATCTGAATGAAATATTGAACTGAATGAATGAATGAACAAATGCACTATTTGTGTTGACACTGGTCGAAATTGGTCAGCAGGCGGAGGTCGACATAAGACAGAAAGTCTGCTTGCGCTGCGGCGAATACGCTGCTGCATCGCCGTTCAGTTTGGAACGTTACTTCACCCATTAAGCCATTTCCAGAACAATGTTGCTTCTATGATGTTTGCCACCTCGAACAACCTGTTTCTGGACCTAAGTTTTTATGAAAATTTCAATCCTTTCAAAGAAGTAATGAGTATGACCCTCACGCTGGATGCGTGACCGTGGCAATGCCCCGAACAAACTCACCCGCAGCGTGACATCGGTTTATTGCACGTCTTCGGCCCAACCAGATGATGTGATATTAGTTAGCGATACAGTATGACGCGCAACATTACTTATTTTATTACAACATCGTCACTTTGTTAAGCACCAGCTATTCGCAGTCGCCACTCGCGCTTAGTACATAATAGGTGACCTTACTGCCGGTAGGCCACATATTGATATGCTCCAAAACCCATCACCCTTAGACGACTTAACTTGGGTGGACAACGACAAACATCTTCCAGACATAAAAATCTCCCAGACAAGCCATGAGCGCTGACACTGAGGCGTTGCCGTAAGCCTACGGTGAACGCGCAGGTTCGGCTTATTACCGGGAATGCTAGTCGATGTCGCTCTGCCCGCCCGGCCGCGGGCCGGCAGCTTACGGCCAGTGTCTTGAACACCACTCGGGCAAGACGGGCGCGTTGGAGGACAGTCCGTGGGGATGATAATAGGGGTTATGTCACAATATGCAGAGCTCTGCTATAAATGAGTGCGCACTCTAGCGCATGATCAGTGCTCCTTCGGTGGTCAAATAGCAGTAGCCGCCTCGTAATCTCACTCCACTGCTTTTTAAATAAAGCTGACGTGCGCACAAACGGTTGCTGATAAGTGGAAGTACAATCAATGCTAGCGCGCACATGATATGGATCATTACTCATCCCGGTATACGATTTGTGGCTCCGCTAGGACTGTGTGCTTAATAATATTGGGCTGGAGCCAGGCTCCGGCAGTGGCCCCGCTAGGCAGTTCCGGGAGCCAGGCTCCGGCAGCCGATAAGCGCAGTCGGTGGCGCGGCACTGCGGTCTCCGTGTCCTGCCCGGCGACACCAGCTGGCTGGCGCCGCCTCCACAGAACCCGCTGGTCCCACCCCGAGGGCTGGCCACGCCTCAGCCGCCCGAGGCCACCGCCGCCCCAGCGCAACCCACAGCACGGCAGTCAGGCTAGCCCTCTCCCCTGGCAGCGCCGCTGCGGCTAGTCTAGCGGTCATGTCGTGTGAATGGCGACGATGGCGTGTGCATCGTAGGTCGGACGATTGTGCAGCGTAGGTCGGACGATTGTGCAGCGTAGGTCGGACGATTGTGTAGCGTAGGTCGGACGATTGTGCAGCGTAGGTCGGACGATTGTGTAGCGTAGGTCGGACGTCCGCCAGGGGCTGTGGTGAAGTGTCTGTTTTGTTTGTTCCGATATCATGGGTCTTGTCTGGTCCGGTCCCAGGCGCTGGTCTATTCCTCCGCTGCGAAAAGGGGACGCGTGACGTCATAGTGCGGTACCCGGTCTTGGATGCTTCTCGAGTCTGCCTGTTTCATTTGAACCTCTTCCAACGTGAAACAATCCTGCTTTTCTTAAATGCAGCGTTGGGAATTTTGGTGGTGTGCGTCACCCTGTGCTAAGTTAAATGCATATAGGTGGCGCCAGCGAAATGTTTCTGTGATACACGAAAAGAGGCCGACCGTTGACCCGAGTGTTGTGTTCGCTGATCCGCCTATGCTTCCGATCCGGTCTCCTTTTTCCTGCCCCCTCCCCCTGTTGTGCCGGAAAAGGAGCGCCTTTCTTCTCCATGCCAACACCATCCGGCCGTGCTCCACCAGCTGGGTGACATGCTCTACCCACGCGTTCCAATGGCGGGAGGCGTGAAGTGCTTCTTCAGCGTCTGCCAGCACTTGTAGTAGTCTGGATTGGTCTTCATGCAGGTCCGGTGGCCCCAGGACGTCATGGCCAGGCCCAGAGAGCTCTCAAACATGAAAGCCTGCGGAACACCAACGATGGCGTTACAGTCAGATCGCGTGCATATCCCGGCCACCAAGTAGAGCCGTCGGAACGGTTCCCTCGCTATCCCCACGAGCGACTTCCGCCCGGTCCGTCCGGCGGGACGCAGCCACACAGCGTCTCTGCTTGTAGCGTGCGGCCGGAGCGGCCGGGTCTCCCGGCGCGAGCGCACCTGCGTGCCGCCAGCGATGTGGACGGGCTTCAGCTCGCCGTTGCTCGCCGCCTCGAAGCACTTGGCGTCCGGACCGTGCGGTGTCATCATGGAGTGCAGCGTGGCGCCGCCCGGCTGCAGGCCCTCCTCCTTGGCCTCGTAGTTGCCGTAGATGAGCCCCATGAACTCGGACATGCAGTTCCCTGGCGGCGGGAGGTGGACGAAGCGGTGCACGGCTGGCGAGCTCCGCTCCCGTGAGCTTAGCATCGATCGGCGAGTGACGGGCGTGCGGGTAGTAACGGAAGCGGAGTTTTGGTCCATTGCGGATACCAGAGCTGTGTGGCGTATCAACCAGGGGGGGGGGGGGGGCGTCTGACGCCCCCAGCGTTGGGATAATAACTTATCCTAGACGGACATATCGAAGTGAACCATCAGCCACCATGCCTCGGAAACAAGAAGCAAGGACCATGAGGCAGGCAGAACTAAAGAGCATGGTGAGAAAAACGTGCTCGTCGATGGCATACCGCTTGAAGTTGAGCTCAAAGTCACGCCCGAGTGGTGCGTTTTCTGGGCCATATACTCCCGGCACAATCCAGCGCGCTCGCTGGAAGAGCGTGATTGAATGCCGCGAGTTTTAGGCTGCGGCAGCAGGACCTGGGAAATCTGCACAGCGTAGCGCAGTCAGGCGGGAGTTGGGAGCAGTAGCATGTAGCCGGGGGGGGAGAAAAATGCGCTCTTCACGGAGCCCGCGGGAAGTCCCTAGTGTGCGCTGACTGTGGTAGTAGGGCGGCCTGAAGGTGTGCTCCTGGACGGCCCAGCGCGGCGGGAAGATGACGAAGTCCGCGATCGCCACACCAGGCTGCGTCGACTGGCACGTGAGCACCGTGAAGATGGACGGGTCCTGGCGACGGTCACCGGGTCACCGTTCGCTCACGGCAACGTGAAGTCATGACATCGATGCAATCTGCTTAGTTATGACATCACAGAAAAGCAGCACGCCCCACATGAGTGGCGTACTCAAAATGCGGCGAACATCGTACGGTGGTTGCGGTCAGTATTATAATATGATTATGGGCTCTTCGTCCCAAACAAGACATATAACAAGATGGCTTTGATGTCTTACGGCTTTAAGGTTTAGAACTTTTCCCCTCGCAACACCGGGAGCATTGTACACGTACTTAAAAGCGCGGTTAAAGCATTTCACACGCACTAAACAAACCTCCGTGAGGTTAGCGGTTTATTCAGCGATTTTTTTTCAGCGACGAGTTTCGATTTCCCTGAAAGATGTCTCAATGCCTATTGTGGCATGAAAACACCAAAAATGACACTTATTTTGCAATATCATGTGACCTCCAAGGTCAAAAGCTGGGTCAAATGACGGGGAACTCGATATCACCCAAAAACTGCCGTTTTGAAAACCGTAAGCATCAAAATATTCAGAACCGAAAGAGCTAGCGCACAATCGCAAGCTCTGACCTCTCAAGGTCACCTTTCAAGGCCAGACACCGGCTCAAAGGACGGGGAACTCCAAATCACCCAAACATTACCGGCCTATTTTAAACTTCTAATAATCAGAATATTTCCCAAAGAAGGAACTGTCGCCCGTCAAAAATCCTGACCTCTCAAGGTTACCCTTCAAGGTCAAACGCAGGCTTAAACGACGGGGAACAACATATAACCCAAAAATTAACGATCGATTTTAAACTTGCGAACATCAGAATACTCGCCACCGAAAGAACTAGCGTCCGTCAAAACCTCCTGACCTCTCAAGGTCACTCTTCAAGGTCAGACGCGGGCTCAAGGACGGGGACTCCATATTACCCAAAAATTACCGGCCGATTTTTAACTTGCAACCATCAGAATATTCATCACAAAAAGAGCTAGCGTTCGACAAAAAGTCCGAACCTCTCAAGGTCACCCTTAAAGGTGCCGGCTGCAGACGCTTCGATGGCAAATTCCAGGCCGCCTCCCCGCCAAACACAAGCCACCAATCGCACGCGTTCTCCGCCAATCAACAGCCAGAACTAGTGCGGGGCCCGATGCAACCCGCAAATCACATCCCGCAAATTTGAGTCGCCCGCGAACTGGCACCTCCAATCCGCAGTGAGCATCGCTGCCATAGTTTTGCTTTGAATGGTTATCTCGACACCCAAATGCCCTAGGGTGCGTAGTGCAAGCGCGGGCTCAGAGGACGGGGAATTCCACAGAAAGAACTAGCGTCCGTCAAAAAGTCTGGATCTCTAGAAGTCACCATTCAAGGTCAAAGGCGGACTCAAAAGACGGGGAACTTCATGTCACCCAAAAGTTACCGACCGATTTTTAACTTACAAGCATCAGAATGTTCACCGCAGAAAAACTACTATCCGTCAAAAACTTCTGACCTCTCAAGGTCCCCTTCAAGGTCAAACGCGGGCTCAAAGGACGGGGAACTCTAAATCACAAATACTAAAATATTCACCACAGAAAGAACTACCGTCCGTCAAAAAGTACAGACCTCTGAAGGTCACCCTTTAAGGTCAAACGCCGGCTCAAAGAACGGGAAGCCCTGTATCATCCAAAAATTGCTAGCCGATTTTGAACGTGCAAACATCGGAATATTTACCGCAGAAAGAACTACCGCCCGTCAAAAAGTCCTGACCTCTCAAGGTCACCCTTCAGGGTCAAACGTGGGCTCAAAGACGGGGAACTCCATATGACCCTAAAATTACCGGCCGATGTTTGCTTACTAACATCAGAATATTCACCACAGAAATAGCTAGCGTCCGCCAAAAAGTGCTGGCCT